GTGCTCACCCTCCCCCAGTGCTCCCCAGAGTCGGACCATGGAGGGGGGGCGGGGGCGGGGTCTGCACCAACACCGAGCTCCGCCCTTGCCTCGCCCTGTTGCCCGCGGCCATACCGGGGCCTGCCCCATGCGGGGGGGGGGGGGGAGGGTGGCCCCATGGGGGCTTGGTGTCTTCACCGCCTCTGAGCGCCGACGTCACGAACAGAATGCGACACCGTGAAACATCAGGACTGGAGCCCCGGGCCCCATCTCTTTTCTGCGGCATGCTTCGGGCCATGCCGATCTGTGATGGCCCCTTGGTCTGCGACCACCTGCGAACCCTGCCCCTGCGTGTGCATGCGAAGCTGAGGCGTGGGTCACCCAGGCCGGGATGCACTTGGCTGCATGCATCGTTCGGACTCGGAGCTCCCGCCGCCGATCCAGGCAGCCGCGGCCTGCAGGGGTCGGGGGCACACGCGGACGGCCCCGGGGCCGGAAGCCTGGCGAGAGCGCCCAGCGCGAAACAGCCTGCAGCGCCTGCATCTCAGGCCCTGCGCAAGTGTCTCCCCGCCCCCGCCCGTGCCCCCCCGCCCTCCCGCCCTCCCGCCCTCCCGCCTCGCAGGCCCTGGCCCCTCGCCGCCTCTGGGCTCGACCAGGGGGGGGGGGCAGGCAGGGCTCGTGTCGACTGCCCCAGTTCGATTCGGTTCGATTTCGATCGGTTCCGATCCCGATTCGATTCGATTCGATTTCGATGGATTCCGATTCCGATTCGATTCGACTTCGGGTTCCGACTTGGATTCCGATTTCTCCATGGAGGCCCACTACCCTGCCAGTTTCCGCCGATTCGACTTCTCCCGACTCGGCTGCCGATCTCCACCGATACGATTCATTTCGATCGCCGGTCCGACTTGTCGATTCGATTCTGGGCTCGCAGGGCAGGGCCTGGGGCACATTGTGCTCTTGTTTTTTGAGAAACTTAAAGAGCTTTGGAGAACCTCCAACTCGGCCGGATGCGTCTACATGCAGTCAAAACGTGTAGTGAGGACGGGTGATAGGGCCGCAAGACCCTTGGAGGCCGAGGTCCGGATTTCTGTGGCGGCGGGCGACCCGTGACAGACGGCAGGGGACTGGCCGCAGAGGCAACGACGCAAGGGCACCCTAGATGATTGCGCGCGTCCTGACTGGGCGCGTGGGCTGCACCGAGCAGGAGTTTCTCGACACGTGTACTCAAGGGCGCCCTCGAGGGCGCGAAGTGATTCGCGCTTCGCGCTTCCCGGTTCGGCTCCTCTTCCTCCTCATCCTCCGCTTCTCCTCGAGCCGAGCTTCGGGGCCCGCTGGCCTCTCGACGCTTCCCTCGGGGTCGTGCCTCGATGTGGTCCCGTGGCCCCAGTCCTCCTCCTCCTCCTCCTCCTCCTCCTCCTCCTCCTTCTCCCCCCCTCCTCCCCCTCATCTCTCTCCTCATCCTCCTCCTCCTCCTCCTCCTCCTCACTGCGCCCTCCACGTCCTCGTCTTCCTCCTCCCCCTCCTCCTCCTCCCTCGCTCCACACATCCTCCTCCTCCTCCTCCACCTCCTCTCTCCCGCTCCACCTCCTCCTCCCCCCTCCTCCCACCTCTCTCCTCCTCCTTCTCCTGATGCCAACGAGTGCCCCGCCACGACGACAACTGCGCTGCCAGTTCCTCCTCCTCCCCTCTCCTACCTCCTCTCCTCCTCACCCTCGTCCTCAGTCCGCGTCCTCTTCCTTCCTCCTCCTCCTCCCCCTCCCCATCCTCCTCTAACCTCCCGTCCTCCTCCTCCTCCCACCCCCCCTACTCCCCCGCTCCCACCTCCCCCCTCTCACCTCCTCCTCCTCCTGCTCCTCCGCCTCCATCGTCCTCCTCCCTCCTCCCCTCCACCCATCCACCTCCTCCTCCTCCTCCTCCTCCTCCTTCTCCTCCTCCTCCCCCCTCCTCCTCCACCCCCTCCTCCTCCTCCCCACCTCCTCCTCCTCCTCCTCCTCCTCCTCCTCCTCGTCCTCCTCCTCCTCCTCGTCCCCTCCGCCATCCTCCTCCTCCTCCACCTCCTCCTCCCCTCCTCCTCCTCCTCCACCTCCTCCTCCTCCCCCCCCCTCCTCCTCCTCCTCCTCCTCCTCCTCCTCCTCCTCGTCCTCCTCCTTGTCCTCCTACTACTACTTCACTCCCATTGAGGCGGACCGCAGTGTCTGATCATGCAAGAGAGCACGGGCCTGGTGGTAGCGGAGCAGCAAGAAGTACCCCGCCTATCCTGACCTGACCCTGCCCAGCCCTCCCATTATGTCTGCAGCACTAGAGGCTGCAGCGTCTCGAGACCTCTCCCTGTAACGAGGCCCCCGAGTCAGCTCGAGCGTACAGCGCATCTGCCGCAAGAGCACATAACCTCGGCGGGAGCTGGATGCAATTTCCCGCCGATATATGACCTGCTGGGTGACGGCAGCGGCCCCTTCCCATGAGTACATTGAGGGAATTGGGGCAGGCACCGAGGTTGAGAGCGAGGACATGGGATGGTCGCTGCGCCGCTGAACCGAGAGTGCACATGCCGATATACACACGAGCCGAGTCGGTGCAGCCTGCTGTCCCTCGAAGTGTTGTGAGGAACTTGAGCTCTGGGAGCTCCCACGGGCATGCAAGTGGTGCAGAGGCTCTCAGAGGGGGGGAGGGAGGTGCAACAAGACGCTAGCTCCGACGAGTGCTGCTTGCCAACATATAAGCAACACTGATTTCAAGTGCGAGTTATCAACTGTAACTAACTCCCAATCTCTTGCACTACAGGTTGCAAGACCCCACGGCACAGGCTTGGATATCAAAATCTTACGGCGGTTCGTGGGCTGAGCTCTATCATGGGACCAGCTGTCGAGGTCGAGGACCGCCACAACACCCACAACACGCCCATCACGCAGGAGGGAGAGGAAGGTGGAGTTGGCATGGTCCCATAAGAGCTGCCCCTTAGTCCTAGACCTATCTTCAGAAACGTTTACGCACAAGACTGGAAAGTGTGTGCACTATGTGCACTGCCGTGCCGTTATAGGAAATACGGGATATCTTGCACATGTCGGGGAAACGGGGTAATAATATGTAGTAGCATGCCCTGTCCTGTGGAAACCTCGGCACTGGTATAACTGGATCGCAGGCCTGCACTCCCCTTATACATGATTTTGTGAACGGGGGAAGAGGGAGCTCCGAGGAGGCAGGGGCCGATAATCCTGAAGGGGAGGGCCTTGGCGATCTCTAGATATAAACCTGAATTACGAAGCTGCTTGGATTCTGCTGTGTCGTTCGCTTCTTCCGCTGCTAGCTCCTCTGTCGTGAGCTTGCGCGAATGTGTTAGCAGTAGGCCTAAAAACGACGAGGATCCGTGCCTCACGTGCCGCAGGAGCCTGAGACGAGTACTGAAATGTTTGCCGCATGCCTGGCATGTGGCCCCTGCGCAATACCACCTCGCCATGTCTAGCTGCGGGTGGTCCCTCGACCTATGTACTGCCCAAGAAGCGGCAGTGGTGAGGACGGCGTCGCAATCCCAGCAGGGGAAGACAACTGCGAGAGGCGGGGAGGTGAGGAAGGGTGGGTCTGGGGCCGCAACGTCACGCGTCACGCGCACAAGCTGTTCGTGCCATGCGTTGTGCGACAGACTGTCAAGGTGCTGCCTAGATGCGTGCGCCTGTGCTGCCTTGACTAGTCCTAGCCACTTCTTGCGGGACTGCCGAATGAAATGTATCCAAACTGCTGTTGGTGGCATTGGCCTAAGCGAGCTTGGGAGGTCCACCATGTCTGCCAACCACAATAGGTCCTCCTCAATCAGCTTGGCCCATGAGTCCGCGTGCCTCGCTGCTACATCTAAAAGAGCGCACAACATGCGGGGTGCGTGGTGGATGAGTCTAGGGAGGTATGTGAGGCGACGTATTCTTACATAAAGACGCGCAGGCAAAACTTGGGCCTCTGACAGGACTCCTGAGGCTGATGTAAGGCGTGCAGAGTCACCCTTATAGTTCAGCTTGAGTGCCGACTTGTAGCATTGGACGTATTGTTGCTCTAGAAGCTCGCTCTGCTTGACATTAAGGCGAGTCCAAGCGGCACAGTTATGTAAAAGACGTGTGAGACATAGAGCACGTACATAACGCATGTTGCGATCAGGATTAAAGCATGCGGGCTTAAAACCAGACCGTTTTAAAACGCCAAGAGGCCCCAACATCTGCTTGCACCTGTAGGCCAGCTCAGGGCCCATGTCTGACAAAGAGCTCAGTTGTCCCCCGAGATGTTTGTACTGGTCGGTGATGGGTAACTGTATGCCATATTTCTCTATATCAAGTATCTGTCCAGGGAGGGCTGCCAACTGCTGCTTGGCGGTCCGTATCTGCTTCCCCGTGAAGAGTACTAGTGTTTCTGTTTCTCCTGGGGCGTAGTTAATCGTGAAGCCTCTCTTGGCCATCTCCTGATGAACCACCACTGTCATGAACCGTTGTGCGGTGCTCCATTGTAGGACATCCCTCACAGCGCCCATGGTGAGGAGGTCATCAACGTAGCCTGGGCCGCGAACGGGGTCATTGTTATCATCTTCGGGGTTGCTGAAAACTTGTCGGGCCTGAGGTAGTTCATGAATGGGTATTAAGTGCTGGGCCTGCTGTAATCTTTCGGTGGTATTAAGCTGTATGGGGCCGAATACCAGGTTAAAGAAGAAGTCGGCCAGCACCATTCCTGGGCGGGAACCTGACAAGGACTTTGCAATCAGTGGGCAGCCTTTGACTTGGAACCATGTGTGCTGGAGGGTTTGGGCTGCTGCATCGGCTAGGTGGGGTCCATGAGGGAATCCAGTTTGCCTGGTCTAGCTGCTGCAACTTCCGCTAGGGGCATTAGGGCCTCAGAGACTTCAGCTTTTTGGATAATTCTTTTGTTAACATCCTTGTCCTGGCCGAGCTGGGTGAGGTGTGCTCTCAGCACGCTGTAAAAGGCAGCGCGCAAGTCGGTCAACAAGAGCAGCGCTGTGAACCCATTTGCCTGGCACGCCTGCATAA